TCTGAACGAAGACCTCCTGCCCTCTTCCCTCAATGCAAGGGCCCGAACAATTGCTGAAGTACTCCTTCGAATTCTATCAGCATACTGCTCTGCACGACCTACCCCGAGACCCCGCTCTCACTATTTCAGCACCATCTTCCCTTGGACGGGCCTGATCCAAGCATAGTACGCTTTCGCCTTCAGCTTCTCATTGAGACCGTCCGGAAGAGAAGGCACCTCACAGTCCAAGGCATATGGAGTATTGGTCTTGAATTAGGGCTGGAAGGACTACATGGTCAGGGTCAGGGGCGCTTAGGACTTAGGCCGTAGTTTTGGGGGATTTGTAGGGCAAAGGTCTGCCCAGACTTTGACCCCTGAAGACGAATTTTGCAGCCTAAAGGCCCAATCCCTCAGCGCTGCGCCCGAGTAGTTGACAAAGAAAACCTGCACAACCTTCGGAGCAGCAGTGACAGAATTTGAAATTTGAAGATGATGTCTCGCCGTACGTCGACATCGTTGTCATCCTCGTTATCCTCATCCTCCTCCTGCTCATACTCCTCCTCCTCGTCCTCGTCCTCTTCTGCCTCATCCTGACTGGGTAGGGGCTGGCGTCGGCGGCTGCGGTGGTGGAGCTGACCGTTGTTGATATAGGGGATATATGGGGGATATATTTGGATAATGGAAGAGAAAATGGAAACTACTATCATATTGGGGTAATATCAGGGGTTAGGTGTGGTGGTGTGGTGGTGTGGTCGTGTTTGTGGTATTTCGTGGTATTTAATGGTAGGCCGCGGCCTAGTAATAGTGGTTGCAATAGTAGCGGTAGTCATAGTGGTAGCAACAGTAGCAGCCCTAGCATCTCTACGTGCCATTTAAAGATAAAATGGATTAAGCCCTTTAGAGTCTATAAGTAAGGCATATGATCAAATGGCTCAAGTTATGAATGGCCAGTAGAAAACACTGGTGATAATGAATGGTTGGATAACAGACCCCAAAACGGGCCTAAGCCTTGGTACAAAGACCATGCAGTGCTTGGGTCTATATTTAGTCATGTGTACATGGAAACGATACACGAGAACAATTCATCAGGTTTGAGTCTTTCAGTTCAATGCCGGAGCATCTTTAAATCCGGTGGTGTGTAACTGGATACTGTCTAAGCTGACTCGGAAACACCTACATTGCGAATCTTGGCTGTAGCTCAGGCAAGACCAGGAAACCAGCAAGCCATTTTTTGTAAATGCCTTGCAGAAATTCAAGCTTCTTTGTTTATTTTTTGTAAATCTGGTGCGTTCAAGAGGTTTATATGATAAACACGCACGCAGCACAATGAGGAAGCGCTCCTTGTTGAAGGTGTGCCCACTCTTCGCAATGGGCTGCAGCACAATATGAACACAAATCAAACTCTCAACCCCAACCTGACGCCTCAAGATTTGGAAGCATTGTGACTAAGCAAAGATATTTCCACCAGAAGGACCATATTGATGAATCTGATCTCAAGACCTTCCACTGTATACGGACATACTACTCGAACCTGACGTACACTGGCTTCTCTCTCTCTCTCTCTCCCTCTCAGTCAAAAGATGTACATTCTGTGCATATTTATGTACACACAATATGTATGTGCATAACGTTGATAAAGATAACAATAAACTGTATATACACATATTAATCAAAGCCTACACACACCTATACCTCTATAATTCTATAATTGGTAGACATACGGATCTACGCAAAAACAAATATGTACATACATGAAAATTAGCTACGAATGTGGGTTGCAATGACCATCACCCACTTGGTCTCTTCCAAAGATGGGGGGACCCAGGTTCAGATTTTAGGGTTGATGATGATGCCTTCTAAGGGGAGTCATGACCCCAGGGCAACAAACTATCCCTAGGCTCCAGGACCCGAGACCCTTAGCCTTAGCCAAGACTGTCCCTCCATGATCTCTGCATGTAGAACTCCTGATAAACCACTTACACAAAGGTCCAGGTATCTAGATAGCACGCATGACAAAGTAAATGGGAGCCCTTGTAGAGTTTGAGGTCGAGAAGACCTTCTACTGCATTATTTTTGGGAGCTGTCTGGGTGACGTAGCAAGGCGCCTCAGCAGCGGGTGCTGCCGCCTTCAGTTGAAGATCTGATGCCAGAGCACCTGAGGAAAAACGTGTTGAGCTGTCGAACTGGTCCTAAGTTACAATGGCAGCCCCTTACGGCATGCCATAAACACACAGGTAGCGATTCAACTGACTAGAAGGCGCGTACTTTCAGTTTTCTGCTCTCCCTATTCGCAAGCGACTGCTCACAAAAATGCAAGAGATAGAACGATCTGGTATAGAACATATGTCAGTCTGATCTGAGCAAGTAAAGAACAATCGCCCCTCTGGAGGCGGAGTATGTGCAGAGTGGTAGAGTGGACCACTGAAGCTGCGGTACTCTCAGCTGTGTCGCGCATGTTGGCCAAAGGGCAATTGGCCATGAGCTAAGCATAAAAAGGCTTACTAGACTGGCATACAGCCAACACTAGAGTGGAAGCCAAATTGACTGCCGGGTGGCCCTGCCAAAGCCGATTTTGACTTAAACATCCAGAGTCAACGCTCAGTCAGCGCCGCTGTCAACGCTACAGTCACTACTAGAACAACTGTGGGAAAGCCACCGTTTTCACCTCAGAAGCCAATAAATCAACCATGTGCCAGTTAAAACCTACCTTTCTGAGAAAAGAAACAACAAATACGCAATCCCCTCGCTTGGTGCAATCTGCGTGCGGATTTTCAGCAAACATCTTAGCAGGAAAGACTCCTCGGGATGGGGCCTCTGGCTGCTACCGTTGCACACAGATCATTTCGCAGCTTGCCTTTGTACGGTGGATGCAGGAAATCTTGCACCACATCTATGCTAACAAACAAAATCAGCAACCACAAGCACCCTGCACCCCCTTCTTAACATTGTGACGAACAGAGGTCAAGGTGATGCACACTTTTGGTCCTTTGTCCTGGCTGCCTTCGTGCAACGTCTCTACCAATCTTACAAGGGGTGCAGCGGAGCGAACAAAGAATCGGCATGAGATGCACGCCTACTGGGTTGCTACTTACTTCAAGTGACCATAATTTTGGTCTATACGGTTTAGGGTTCAGGGTTCAGAGTTTAGGGCTAAGCTTGCCATTATTCGGGTCTATAATGAATTGTAGGGTTTCCTTGTTATAGTAATAGTTGAACAAAGTTCATCAACAGCAACCCAACCTAGGCATGCACATTACGAAGTGTTTGTGCAATCCATTATAGATATTATGAGAAGCTGTAGGGTACGACCAGTATCTGAGCATCACTAGTGTTTTCTTACACAGTGTAAAAGACAGGTTTTCCATGAATAGAGATGTTTCTAGGTCTGTGGACACAGCCAAAGTTGACGGCCCCGAGTAGCAAGTGCAAAGCGCGACGCTTGGCCGAAACGTGATAAGTCATCTGTTTCCTTCCTTTCTTTCCAGCTAGGGACATTGCTAAAGTTGTTGACCTCCCGCATGCCAAGCAGAACCCCAAGCCCGATCAAACGGACAAATCCTTGAAAAAGAGATCGCAACAGTTGAAGCAACTACCAAAGCCACGCCTGAAGGTGTAATCAAAACCCGCTTAGGCTTGCGCTGCGCAGGCCGCCAAAATTTCTCAAGCTCAATGCCAAGTCTAACCCAGCTTTTTTGCTACACCCCAAGCTTGACTTCTAGACCGTCTAGACCTCACCAGCACCAATCCTAGAGTTTCACATACTTCGCATGATCCCAAATGAAGTCAACTCCAGCTTCTGCGCAGCGACAAAGAAAAATTGAAATTCCCACCCCTGCACTACACGCTTCAGTCACGAGACCTACGGCTTTCTCCTCGAAGGCGGATGCCAACAGCAAAGCCGCGGTAGATGATCCCTGGGCTAGTCGAGTCACATGGGGGCTTGCGTAGATGCTGGGGGTGTCCGATTAAGCTGTAGTTCGGCTGTGGCCAATTACATTGTGATCAAGACCTTGTCCCTGGTGGAAATTCAGCCAGGCAGCTATAGTTTTGAGCTGCAAAACATACTGGCAGGTTTACTCGCAAAGCGGCTAACCAGAAAGTGCTTTGGTGATGCAAATGGTAGTTTCCCAAAACAGGGGGACCCCAATACAGACGCTAGTATACTCTAATCCCCAATAAGGTACCCCTAATCTGGGGAAAATTCCAAATGCCCTCTGGCGCGCAGCGAATGTTCAGGAGCATTTGGCGCATCGGAGTTCTTGTTCAAGCCAAGATCACGTCTGCTCCATCATTCCGAGGCTCTTGTAAAGGCCTGCTACACTACTTGGAGGGTCATGGGAACTCAGTAAGTGGGTTAATAATGGGAAAACTGGGGCTCTCATATGGCTTATAGGGGTTATTAACCGACTTACTAAGTCCCCATGTCCCTCCAAGTATTCATGACTTGCATGACCACCCTGGCTCCAATCAAAGATGTACCCTCCTCAAGAACGCTACACATCAGCAGCAACCTGATAACATGCTTCCGCGCCACGCATCGAACCATGAAATCCATGATCTGGCCATAGTCCTTCTGGGATGAAGGCAAGCCAACCAGGAGCACAGCGGAAACTCCTCCAGCACAAAGGGTCGGGGGTTTGGCCTTCAGGGTATGTGTCTTAGGGTTCTTCGATTTAGGCTCAAGGGACCTAAGCGCTCAGACAAGCCGGTGGTTGAAACATGGACAGTTCCCAGTTTAGTCTAGGCCATTTAATTTAAGGGGTTTGTCGGTGGGTCTTAGGTGTGAGCTATACAAGCTCCAGAACCGCAAATGCAACACGAAGCAACTAAGGGATGACAATGAGGGCTGATGCATGGAGAGCTGCGGCCGGTCGCGGAAAAGGGGGATTCACAGGGCCTTTTGCTTGACAACAGATTGGGAGTCTTGGTTTCAGATGGATGGGGTCACAGATGTAGGGGACTAGGACTGAACCTCAAAGCTACAAACCCCTTAAATGCTGCGCAACGTAACCTGCAAGCCATCAACGTGCTCCTTCTGCCGGCAAGGTGACTGGGGAAACTCCTGGCAACAGCTGAGGTCTTGCAGGCCCCAAACTAGAATGGGCCCTCATTATAGCCCCCAATATTCCCAATATTGAACCTAGCTCGGGCGCTCTACGCCCTTTTTAAGGGCTCCATGTCGATTCTTGGGAGGATACCTGGATCTCAACATGTGACTCCTGGCTTTGAGACACAGTATTCTGTTGTTGAGGGATCTTCACCCTAGACCTAGGCAACCCAAACCACATGACACTAGCAGGTGTGAAGAACTGTATCCCGAATTAACTACATGGAACATGGATTTGGGTAGTTTTTCGCATATTATCACTATATGAGGGAGTAACCCCTAGCATACTCCCCCATATGATCCGCTACAGAACGTCTCTTGGAGGAGTTTACACTACATTATCATATGAGTCTGGGAACTGCGTTTGAAGTTCAGCAATTCCGTGTCCCTATGGTTGTAGCAGCCTTTGGATTGAAATTCATTGCGTCTTTGGCAAAAGCAAATATCGACAAACACCGGCAGAGAACAGAACAGCTTAAGTAGTGCTCAAGCAGGTGTTTCCCTAAACCCTAAACCCTAGCCCGTAAGCCCAAAACCCTTGTGGTTCTTGGCGTGAAGAACACTAGGCCCTCGACAGATCTTAATGGAACAGCTCTACTAGACGGATCCATGGATCCATTTTGTAATATAGTGCGTTAGGTTCAGAGCTTCAGGGAACCACAAGTAGGTTGAAATAACCCTGGTAACTCCTGAGTAGCCTGGGTTCCCTATCACGCTCCTGCTGCAGGCCGTGTGAAACCCTAAGCCCTAAACCTTGTGGTAGAGCCTTACGATCACTCAACCAGAATCTCCGCTCTACGTACAATGCCGGGGCCTCCGGAAATGACGCGTATTGCAACCAGACCAGCTTGATAACGTCTAAACCAGTCTGTTTGAGCCTACTTGGTTTGGGTGAGCAGAGACAAGATTGCTCCAAATGCCTACGCAAAGAGTCGAAGCCCCCATGTAGCAGGCAAAGCCTTAAGATGCCCGTGTAGATTGTCTTCTTTGAAAGTAGCTGGACTCTGCGGGCTCTGTAGAAGTCCCCTTGGTGCCCAACGTCTAAACCATTCAAATCATGCGTCTACACTTCGCCTGCAGTGAAGAGCACGCCCGCGCTTGCAGCCCCAAAGCTCTGCAGGACTTTCTTTCGCACCTGGCATTCTGGAATATCAGCGGGCTGAGGAAAATTTGCAACACCCTGATTGCTCTATAACTATAAAAGACGTTGTGTTGTGTTCTTCAGTTGTACAAGATTTCCTGCATCCATCGCTAGGGTGGAGCCGCAGGGTGGTGATAAGCTGAAACCTATGTAAACCTAAACATACTTTCTCAGCGGTCTGGTCTCTTAGGTCCGGACATAAGTAGGTTGTAAAAGGGGGTTCTGCTTAGCTTGAAATGCACTGGAGGGTTCAGTGGGGGCCTATTTGAGGAAGGTGTGCATTCCGAGTTCATTGTTCTCGTTTGGCCTTAAGAGGTTAGGCTCCTGTAGCAAGGGGAAGGTGCTGGTAGGGGTAGTTCGGGTCCACACCCTGGCGCAATCCCTTTTTAACACTGCTAACGGCGACATCAGTGAATGTCCGGATGAGCAGTTCATGCTGCATGGTCGCTGCTACAGGTTATTAGCCGCTGCTTTTGGAATCTAGCGAGGAGAACGATATTACAAGAAGTGCTGAAGTTATAATCATAATCTCTGGCCACTAAACCTGACACTTGCGCATATAGGCCCTGGATCTAAACTAGGATCCCCATATGTACGCTCAACAAGGACCCCCCACAGAAACCCACGACTTACAGAAACTCCCATTTCATGCTCACAGGAGGCCTTCAACAAAAAAAAACCGAAAATTCGACACGCATATCGACTTTTTCCAGGTTGGTTGCTGTGGCCCCTCTCCTAGAGCCGGAACAGAGAGTCCAAATATGGGAAGGGCTAGCTTGAAATCACGTAGCGAAAAGTAGTTTCCCGGAGTACCCCTACCAGCCGTACCCTAAGAGCCCAAGGACCCAAGTAATAGGACTTTAGGTCCCAATACTATACTATTAATTGGTATTTGGGACCTCAAGCCCTGTTATTTGGGTCCTTGAAACCCTTAGGGGTTTTAAGGGGATCACCAAACGCCATGTGCCCTAAACCCTAAATAACCCTTGTGGGAATAAAGGGGATCAAAAAAAACCATGTGCCCGCTGTGTGGCCTTCTTGCTAATGCCAGAGTGAGCCTCGAAGACCTCAAGCTGATTGGGTTTGGGGTTTAGGGACTTGATGGGCTTGGGAGTTAGGATTTGGGGTTTAGGGATTTGGGGTTTAGGGTATTTTGTTTATGGTTTAGGGTTTGAGGTTTAGGGCTTGAGGTTTAGGGTTAAAGGTTTTTGGTTTAGGTAGGATTGGGGGGTTGCATTAGCTTCCCATATCTAGACGTTCCTGATACGTAAGTGCGGTAGCACGGTTATATGAAGGATAGCCATGCCTACAACGCAGATAATTGGCTTCTAAGAATGCCACGTATAATCAGCCATGAATATAACCCCAATAGTATACCCTAATATAACCCATAATAATCCCAGTCTCCATTTCATTTTCCATTTTCTTTTCCATCTGATTCTCCATTATTGGGTGCCACTATCCCCATACTTCCATCTGGGACAGCCTGAGTTGATAAGGGCAGTCACTTTGTCTGAGCACCCGTCTACGAAGCTAGTCAGCGCAACAATGTTTCTGGATATCCCTGCAAATCTGAACCATGCATAAGGCCTAAACCACGAACCCAGATTCGGCATGGCAGAACAACAGGCTTTGAGGCCAAGCTTCTTGCTAGCTTGAAGATTCGGATCGCGGGCCCCGAATGCGAAATGCCCTTAAGAGCAATGGCAATCCCACATCACTAAATACACTAGCTCCGGACAAGGGCTGAACGCATTTGTTTCCCAGAGGCTCACAGACCTTGTTGCTGGGCAATAATTTGGAAGCAATTCATGTTAGCTACATGGGACGTTGCAACTGCCCCCTGTTCCTCTACAAAGAGATGCGCACCCAAAACTTATCGAGTCTACTTTGCACCTGTCGCTCTCGCAACGGAATTCGACCATGGCCCTAAGCCCCAACTTGGTCCATACAGGTGTAGAGCACTGCATAGATAGATAGATATACATATGCGCTACATGCTTCCATTGCGAATCATACTCTTGAATCCCGCGTGATATGTCTGTTGCGGATTTATCGATATGAACCACCGAAGCAACTAAACCCTAAAGCCCAAACCCTATACCCCTATAAACCATAAACCCCTAAACCTTAAACCCCTATACCCCAAACCCCTAAACCTGGACTTATCCTGGGGATGCCTGGAGATCTGGGTCTGCCGAGTTGTACCTACTTTGGAAGTCGTACCTGTTTGATTGAGGTATTTGAAATTTGCCCTAAGGGTCCAAAAACCCAAACAATAGGGTATAAGGGCCCAAATACCATTAATATCATAGCATTTGGGCCCGAAAACCCTATTATTTGGGTCCTTGGACCCTTAGGGTTGGGTTTGGTATCCGAATGACCTAGCTGCGAGCTCCGGGACCGGAACTGCACTGCTGACGACACAAATCTACTTACTGCTGGTTGGTAGGGAATAATGCATTGTATTTTATAGGGATCATACGGGGATTATATGGGGAGTATATGGGTGGTTGTCAAAATTATGGTCCCTTTTTGGATCCCTGTTTAATTGGGACCTAATATTTAGGGTACCCAAAAAAGGGACCATAATTTTGGCAACCACCCATATAAGGATCATATTCCCTTATTTCCTACTAAGCACCCGCAAGTCTAGCATCTCCAGTGCCAGCTTGCAAGCCCTACCTTCGCCATTAGGCTACTGAGAGAACCGATTGATAAGCTGAGGTTCCGCTGATCTTTGGGTTGAAACACACCTACTGTACTCTAGAACTCTCAAAATAACCCTGAACCCTAAACCCTAGATAAATATGCTAGGAGCGGATGTACCAATTGAATTTGCACCTTCTCAGGATGGCCCGATGAGCGGCGCAAAGCTCCAACGTTGCTGAGTGGCCTCATAGGAAGCACCCGCTAATCGGGCTGTCTCGGAGTAAAGCTTGGCGACCTCACCTGAATGCTTGGAGGCTCGGATGAACTCCATGGGAAGCACAAGAACAAAATGCTTCGAAAAGAACAAACGGTTCTGAAAAGAGCCATGAGTCACAAGGTATCAGTAAACGTGGATTGTCACTCTCGCTGAAACTGCGTAAATCTCCAGAAAAAAAGTGTGAGATGAATTGCCAAGGCTGAATTCATCATGCAGGTTGTGCTTACAATTTCTATATTTTTGATCGTGTAAGCTCTTGATCAGAAACGCGGTGTCGACGGATTACGCTGTTTTGGACGCTTCGGCTATGGCAACCTAAGACTGCTCGGGTTTGCAGAGTGTTAATGTGTAAAGAAAAGGAAGCAAACGGGGCTCTTGAGAGTGCCTTGCGGAGGTTATACATAGGGTTTAGGAGGAATGGCAAACAAATGGAAACTACTACAATGGGTTACTGTATATATAGGGATTACTATAAGAATCCATATGGATGGAGGAATATCTAAGCCTTGTACTGTTTCATTGAAACTTGCAGCTTTATCTCCCACACGCCTGTCCAAAGCCTGCTTTGGCTGACACAGCAGTGTTTCTCAAAGTCAGTGTACCCTTGCCGGCCACAAGATATGTACGGGGATTACAAACTCAGGTTGCGGGTAAGAACATGTACGGACTTCGTGCAACAGTGCAGGATGAGGACAGTGATACAACCCTTCTCAAGCTCAAAACTTCTAGAGGTGAACCAACCGTAGAAAACACCTGAAGCCGTAGACTCAACACAAACCACTGCTTTCAAACCACAGAGGCTTGCCAAATAGTCCGGGAACACACGCACACACAAAACTCTTTAGTCTACCAAATGCTCGTTCAGGGAAGCGGCCATTGATGAAGATCGCCACGACCTGTGCAAACTTCCGAAGATTCCAGAAGCAACGCAGAACATTGAATAAACAGAGCAATCTTGCAGCTATCCTTAAAAATCAAAAGCCTATAGACTTCAGTTGGAATTGACAGCTTCCGTGGCTAACCCCTAACGCACCCTGCAATTACCAGCTTTTCCTAGGTCCTAGATTGTCATGCTGCCCTTCCTTCCAAGATGTCTGAAACAAGTCTCTTTCTACAGAAAAAGGTTGTAATTTCAGGCCACGGAGCAAGTATTTGTAGTTCGTTTGTCCCTTCAACAATGCAAAAAAAGGAGACAACTCAACGGATCCGTTCCAAATAAAGTGCTCGTCACAGCTGGCTGAAAATACAAAATTTGAGTTACTACAATTGGGGAACCATATTACTTGCTACATATACCCATTATGGTAACTTACTTACTGTCTCTATATATATATATACACACCCAGTATGGTATGGTAACTTAAGTTAAGTTCCCAAGCATCCGTGAAAGATTGCACAGTAACATGGTAGGTGGTTCAAATTATGGTCCGTCTGTGGATCGCCTGCGTAGAATACAGATCTAGTCATTTCCGGTACCCAAAAGATTTCCGGGACTTAGAAAGGGACTATCAATTTGACAATCCCCCAAATTGTGGGGTGTTGAAAACCACCCTAAACCCTACACCCTAAATACCCAGTGGGAATCATCCCTGGTTACATGTTGCCGCCATCCTTGCAAGCCTCCATGCCACCGAATAGTCATGAGCAGTCAGCAGTAGGGTTTCCTTATAACAGCCACTTATTGTAAGCTCCACATTTAGGAAACCGTCATTATATCGGGGTTGTCCAATATGCAACTTCAAGTAAGGTTGTGAAGGTGAAGTTACATGAGATCAGATAGAAAACAATACTCGCCGGCAAGAAGCCAAACCCTGCCCACGACATTGCTGAACAACACCTGGCTTATTCAGATTATGTTACTCTTTAGTCGGCCCTTTCGCCGTGCTTCCGCGGATCCTCTGCGACCACAGACAACTCTGATTTTGCTTATGAAATGTTCCTGCTGTATGTAAAATGTAAACAAGGGTTTTCGGACGGCCCCCAATATAGATAGAGTGGTTTAGGGTTTAAAGTTTAAGAGAGAGCCCCCCGACAATCGTCTGCTGTGGCAAGCTTGATGTTTGGAGTTTGCTATCGAAACTTGGCCTTGGCCATGCTTCCTAAAGAAGATGTTCCCAAAGGGTCCATCTGCCATATTATGTGTAGTCCTGTCCGTATGGACTACAGCGTTGTGCGCTGCTTATGTTCTTGTTCTTGATCCTCCATGTGCGCAATCCTTCTAACTATGGCCCGACGCCGGGCTGTAACCCGTTGGACCACACGGGCACGCAAAGGCCTAAAAAACATTTCGCTCTCAAAAATACTCCTAGTCCATAAGCTTGACCTAAAGGCGTTAACCCAACAAGCCCGTGTGATATTGCTAGGGAGAATCATCACGAGCTATACCATTGTTGCTTAACATTTCTTTATGCTAGTCTCCGCATTTGAGAAGCAACCCACACACTGAGAGAAATGGCCGCCTTGGTGTGTTCGGCGGCCTTCCTGCCGATGAGCGCTGGAAGCGTGATTGCCAGCCTTGCTAGCACAGATTGGATGCTTGGATGCTTTGGTGTGACCTAGTAGAAGTTGTAATTGTACTAGTAGCAGCAGCCGTGGTGGTGGAGGTTGTGGTTGTGGTTGTGGTAGTGGTAATGGTAGTGGTGGTGGTAGTAGTAGTAGTAATAGTAGTAGTAGTAGTAGTAGTAATAGTAGTAGTAGTAGTAGTAGGCGCCCCCCCCCCCCTACCAA